TCTCTGTACTCAGCTGAGAAAAGCTCTTCAGTCACAGCATGCAAACATTAATTTTTTTACATTAAGCATAACTGCGAACACTGCTGTGGTAGAGCACGACTGATAAAGAGCACTTTTTTAATTACAGTGTTTATGCTCTATAATGACTTATAATGAGTCAGACTGGTTTATGTGCTCTCCATGTTCATGTGGAAAAAAGTCATAACAGGGAGGAGACACAGCAAAAACATTTATTTAACAGAGACACTTAAGATGACTGATGGAGGGATAATTACTGTCATTACTTTTACTGCTGAGATGTTGTCATAGGCTTCATCTCAACAACCAGAGCTCATCCGTTGACAGCTCTGTCACTGATCACCCTGGGTGAAAAATTATTTCTTATTCTAACATAAAAAATGTTAGAATAATAAATATGCTGGACAGAAATCAATGGCGAACGATAAAGGAAATGTAATGATCGATTTCGTTGGAGCAGGATCTGTAATGATTGCGAGGGGGACTTGTGAGGTTTCTGCGGTGGTCTTAACATTTTAAAAGCGGAGGGATTATTCAATGAGGGAGTCTGGCTAAGACTCACTTGTTTTTGTCAAGTGATATCTGTGTGCATCTGCCAAAGAGGTCTGCATGACTCCAGAACACAGCAAAGTGCCTCTGAGATGGTGTCAGTGACAGTTCAGATTTCTCTTTATTTACTCTCAGATAATCAATACACGAGTTAAAACTATTTCTTGGCTCTCGAATGGACAAACAAAGTAAGGTTTCCTGTTGTAATTATTCACTTCAAAATAAGTGCATCAGTATTTCAGCAAGATCTGTCATCATTCAATCAATATTTGATTATCATACAAATAATGTTATTCAAAGTGCTTTAATAAAAACAAAATTAAACCCCGACCAATCTCCACTCCATCCCTGCACATGCAGAGTAAGACAATTAACAGGAACTGAGGAATGCTATCATAAATCTAAAAATCTTTCAAAGGAGGAAACCAAAGAGATAACATGATAATAT